ATCTCATCCAGTGCACTAAATGCCCGGATGGAAAATATGTAGGAGAAACCAAACAACAATAGATAAATTTAGCTTAATAAGTACTAGAAGCTTCATCTTCACACACAGCTTTACATATAATACCTTAACAGTTAGGCACATCTATGCCATTCTTAGCTAATACATATGAAAAAATAATGCCGGCATGTTTATGAAAGAGGAATCTCACTCTAAAGAAGATATGTACTCTGCATGGTATGCCCAAATGAGAATGATGTTCATCATGAAACAAGCTCTATTTAGTTACACTGATGCAAAAGTATTGACTTATCTTATAGGCCTAAATTAGGCACCGTATAGTTGGAACAATGTTCTCCAGTGTTATTACATGGTCTTGAAGCATCTCAGATTACCTACTAAAAAAGTATATTAGTTATAGACCAGAGGCCACTTCCCCAGTGAGGCTATACCTGTGTAATGGTCTATTCTTTTCTCTAGCAATAAAAACAAGGAAAATCAATAGACTTTACTGCCTTATTGGAGCTTTTTCTAACATAGGTGCAGTTCTAAAACTCAGATTCAAAATTTCAACCCAATTCTGATATGCCCTTTCCCTGGGAATATAAACTTTGTCTGCAATAAATGAATATGACTTCTTGCAGCAGGTGTTACTCACCTTAAGGGCATAAGATTTTGATCCTTTAGGAGCTGTGAACTGCTATCACATGAGTGTCAGAATATCAGCGTACAGAGGAAAAAATATTCTTCCCACTTAAGTTTCAAATGTGTACCTCTGAAATGAGGTAAAGGGCCCAATTACACCCTCTCAGATTTAACACCCATGTGATTCCATTGGTGTGGGGGAAGAAGCACAGACCAACTGAGCATCTGATCAGGGCTTGGTTTCACTCCCAGGTCTATGGCCCTGGGCAACATCACATCAGCTCTCTGTACCTGTATCCCACCCTTTGCCCTTCCTGTTTAAACCTTCCAAGTGAGGCCTGTCTCGAATAAGAAGTTTTATATAAACCCAGCACACTCTCATGTGGGTTGGCTAGGTCTCAGTGAAGTTATTTATAATTTATGCTGCTCTCAGTTATACAGATTCAACTTCTTTGAAGGAGGTGGTAAAATTGGTCCCAAAGTCTAAGCAAACTGCGGTTTGTTTTTTTTAAATCTGGTTCTTGCAGGAAGACTGCCCAGCCATTTCTCTACTAATCCCCATGAAAGTCAGATTTTCCAAGAGCCTGCTGACAGACCTGAGATGAAACAGCATGACCACTGTTTATACTTCACAGCCATACTCTGTGATGTGGCTTACACAGAAACATTTTAGCTGCACTATTACATCTCCCACCTACTTCATTTTATTGCTTCCCAGCTTGGATCTCCATTTAACAATGTTTGGGAATTTGCATTGCTACATTGGAAAACAAAAAAAAAGGAAAGCAAATGACAAACACGTATTACATAAGAAACACAATTGCTTGTAAAACATTTCCTTTTAAAAACTACTGTACAACTAACTTATTTTAATTATGTGCAATTGAAAATATATAAAAAGCCTTATCAACTAAATGATTTTTTTACAAGCCCCTCCCCCACCTTTAAAAAAAATGCATGTGGACTGGCACTGAATAATCTTTACTGAGTCATACACCAATTCTCATGTTTCACTCTACTTATACAAAAAGCATTTGGGATTGTAATCTACTTTGTTGCAAGAGAGAGAGACAGAAAAAGAGAGAGATCATACCATATACTTTTACAGTATAACCAGCTAAGTAGACGTCTTTAATCTCATAACATGATAAAAATCATTACAAATTACAGTCCCTTTGATAAATGATTATGGTGACGCATGCAGTCATCCTCAGTGCTGCTACCATCAAACCACTCATGATTTTCTCTGTACCCTAACAAAGACGTCTCATGTTTCACCTTTTCAGGATTGCCTTTGGACTATCAAATGGCTGCCCAGTGCCAAGTATTCTGTAGTAACTGGTCAATGTTGCAGTGCATTGCTCTCTCTCAGTCCCATCACCATCACACCACCACTGCCTTCCTAGCCCCTAAATAAACGCACAAGAGTATTCTGGGAGCAGCCCCTTTTCAGCCGCAGGAAATCACGGTGAAGCGCTTGGAAATGCAAGACATGTTGTGGAGCACGATACCGAGGAGAAAGACCAAGACGCATGCCACCAAGATGACAGTGCAAACCCCCGACCAGGTGGAGCTTTTCACAACACCCCTCCTGTCGTGCTCCTCTTCTCCAACTTCCTGTGGGATTCCACCTTGCAGAGGCTGCTGCTCAGCTGGGATTGTCACCACAGTGACAGACTTCTGCTGGTTACCTGGCAGGAGGCGGCAGCCAATGTCTCCGGGCAGCAGTGCTCTCTCCTTGGAGATGGGCAAGGGCAACATGTAGCATCCATTGCTAGGAAGTTTGATAAAGACAGGAGTGTGCTCTGAAGCATGAGGAATTGCAATCACAGCAATGACTTCTGGGTCATCAGGCAGCTGGGAAACAGAATAGCCTGGTGGCAACTTAGTGATACCTCGGCACCAAGGGCATTTCAGGTCTTTCTGGCTGGTCCTCATCTGCTGAAGGCAAACAGAGCAGCAGGTATGTTTACAGTCCAGTAACTTGGGCCTCCGTCGCGGGCTGTAGTAATTGAAACAAATCTGACATTCCAGTAGAGAGTCCTGGGACAGTGTCTCCATTGTAGCCCTTATGGGGAAACACTTAATATCTTAGAGAGCCTTGCTGTATTGTCCAAAATCTGAAGTCTGGTGTAGTTTCTCTCTTCCCACTGCTGCGTCTGCGTACCTCACCAGTGAAGGGCAATGGCTAGGAATCACCATGTAGGTAAGCATCGGACTTGTCTTTCAGTATCTGAGAGAAACAGAAGATTCAAATGAACAGGGTTATTTGGGAAGACAAGACACAAAACTAAGACAAAAATAAAATCCCCTGATTTTATAGTAACATCATACTGAAAGGGACCTGTTCCCTGCAAGCACAAGCAATCATGTAACAGAAGTTGAGTACAAAACAGATGACAAAAACAGCCCCTCCTGAATGCTTTGACCTACAAACAACCCACTAACACCCTATAATATACTAGGGCAGTGCGGGCCAACTTTTTTGTCAGATATGCCAAAAATTAAGGCTCATGCCCTCCCTGAGTACCACTCCAATCCCTTTCCTCTGTCCCCTCTGCTGCTCTGCCTTCTCCTTCTTGACCTGTGCCCCCAGTCTGATCTGCAGCTCTTTCTGCTCCCTGATCTATCTGCAGCATGTCACACAAAAACTGCCCATGCCGCTAGTGCCACGTGTGCCATAGACTGGCCATCCCTGCACTAGTATCACATTATACCTTCAATCGAATCTGCATGTCCTACAATAATGAAGAAATAGACTAGATGATGAAGGTCAGGTCTTTAGGACAGGCTCTTTTGGACCTCAATTTCTGCAATCCCCAGAGCCACAGGTCTGTACTTGATGTTACTTATACCTGATAAAAATTGAAGCTAGCATCTGAAAAGGTGGTCTCAAAGCCCATCTTACGATTTACATATACATATTTTAATAATTTCTCAAGGCCTGTCAGCCCTTAAAAACCCTTTATTTTCATTTAATCCTTTAAAGCCTCAAGACTTTTTAGCTAACTTCTAAGTCTGCACAAGGTAAAAAATGCAAGTGCTTACACAGGCACCTCAGTTACACTTGTAAAATATGAGCAGAATGAGTGAACAAGTAACTAGGCATATTTGTGCACAGCAAAAAGGAAATGCATGCTTTTATGCAAAAGAATTTCTGTCTGGCCACAAGAACAGCTTGGGGGAATAGTTGGGATGTCTTCATTTGAAAATTCAGCCCATGGCCATCAACAAAAATGGAAGGTTTCATAAGGTCTGCAGAAAGACATTGGCTAAGCATGCACCTAATTAATATATTAAATAATCTGTTATTAATCCCATTCTCCAACATTCATAATCACACTGGTCTGTCTATTAACTTTTTTGGATGGCTTTTTTTCTTTTTTTTTTTACTTACTCTTGCCAGGCTTCATGTATTTTCTTTGCTGTTACATCGGAAGTTTTGCCTCGTTTTACACAATTTGGTGGAGAATGGAGGCCGCAACACATTTTTATGTGTTTTTGTCTTCTTCTATTTCAGTTTATTTAAAAACAATACTCTATTCAACATGCTACATACCTGTTACAAGTTTCAACTTTATGGAAATGGAAGATGGAAACCTGGGATTTGTGGGGCTGGATTAGGCTACAGGACTAAATGGACAAGCAGCCAAAACTAGATCCTCAGAGGAGGAGTGGGCCAGTCCTCCTATTGTCGCTGGTACAGCTTAAGGAAGATTTGTACCAAAAGCAGATATGGTTCATACCGCCTTATCAACTACTCATGAATTACCTTGGCCACTGGGCACAGCCACAGGCAAATCCAGTGGCATGGTCTCACTCCCACTTCCACAGTATAGCTCAGCAGGTCCAGATGCTTGGGTCCCCTGCAGAGTCTGGACCATGTGACAGGAGTATCAGCCAAAGATCTTTTTAAGTTCCCAAAGCAGGTAAGATTCCCCCACACCTTGGCACCCCTGCCTTCCCCTCCATGCTCAATGGCACCTTCCCTGCCAGTCCCCCATCCTTCCTCTCTACTTACACCTCTGAGACCAGGAAGGGAAGACCTTCCTGCTAGCACTGCTACCCCTGGCTGACCCAGGAGCAGTGGGAACCACTCCTACCCCCGTCCAAATAAGGCTGTGGGGAGCAACTGCACAGGAAGCAGGGCTCAGCCAGTGGCAGCAGCAACAGCAACAAGTGCGATTCCTCTCCTTGCCAGGCCATGCTGTGTGTTCCCCACCAGCCTGGGACCAGTCACAGGGAGGGGGAACCTACACACTGCCACCGCCACAGTCCCTGACTCCTCATGCAGCCACTCCCGCACAACCCAGGCTAGAGTGCGGCAGAAGCAGCTCAGACAGTGGTAGCAGCAGTGGAGTGCCCCCTTCCTGCACACACAGGTATAAAAAGAGAGGGAGAGGGGGACATGGGGGAAAGGTGCCACAGAGCACAGAGGGGAAGGAAGGCATTGCTGAGAGCTGGGGGAACATGAAAAGAATTCTTAACCAGTTTGGGGACTTAAAAAATTCCCAGCTGCTGCTCCCACAGCATGGTCCGCCACCCCCAGGCAGAGGTGGGAAGGGAGCAGGGGAGTGCAGTCAACCCTGCAGTGCCAGGCGCTGTGCACATGCCCCCTTTTTTAAAAGCCTGTATCCACTTATGGTCACAATAGAAACCTTTCTACTGATACGAATGTTTGATCAGTCTGTGAAGTATCTCCTGCAATGACAAACACAATCACACCCAATAAGGCAAAGCCCACACCACACCAGAGAAAGCGTAAGAAGGTATTTTACCTAATGAAGAAAGAATGACCCATAGGGTTCTGTGGGGGCGGACGGCATCAAGGTAACACTGTCCATGGTTATACCCCTTGTCCTAGAGCAGTGGTCTCCAACCTTTTTAAGTAGGAGATAACCTCTGGCATTTACAAGCAACCCAAGATTTACTGTGTACTGCCACCCCCCACCCAAGCAGGTACGTTTGTGGAGAGAAAAAGATTATTTGGGGGCATGCCTCCCCAGCAGTGAGTCCCATCCGGCCAGGGCCCCACTCAGCTTACCCCTGTTCCTGCCTCTGTGGCACTGTCCCTCACTGTGGGGACCTAGATCTAGCCCCTGCCCCTTCCCCCACAGACTGACCGGATAGGCTGGGGTGCCCGCATGCCCCCCACCCCAGTCTTGGATAGACTCCAAGAGGCTCCAAGATCTACTGCAAGAGGCTCTGAGATCTACTGGTGGATCAAGATCCACTGGTTGGTGACCACTGTCCTAGAGCATGGCTTGATCAGCTCCACTGGCTAGTGAATAAAGGAAAAAGCGGTATTTCACCTACAGTATCCATAAACTGAAAGTCTCCCTTATACAGCCTGCACAAGAGCAGGAAACAGTAAAGTAGAGGAGTCTTACCTGCTTTTTCTGCCACCCCCACACCTATGTAAGGGCCAAGTACAACCTGGTCAGTCATAGGGAATATTGGTACACCAAGTGAAAACATTCCAACTGATAGAAACAAATTTGAATGAATTGCTTTGGGTAAATCTTAACATTGTACTGGAATCTAGAAGAATGGGGAATATTGTCTCAGTATGGTATAGGAGATAGCTATTCATCATTGCTTGACAAGAAAAATTAAAGACACAGTACAGGTCATAGAAAGATATGTATTAAACATACTTGAACACTGCATCTATAAAAATATGTTAGATGCCTAGAAACCCCTGGATAAGAAATTCAAAAAGGAAAAGAGAAGACGTATGGGCAGATGGGACCAAAGGAGGGGCAAACTGAGGTATTGTGGGTCAGAATGCAAGGCGGTCGGGGGGAAAGGGACTTGGTAGTGGGGGTCTACTAGAGGCCGCCACATCAGGAAGAGGAGTTGGGCTTGGAATTCTCCAGACAGCTCTCAGAGGCCATATGGTCAAGGGACATGGTTGTCATGGGTGACCTAAATTACCCTGACATCTGCTGGGAGGAGCAGTCAGCTAGATCCAACTGTTCATGCAGGTTCTTAACATGCATACAGGACCTTCACCTAATGCAGGAAGTATACGGTCCCACTAGGGGAAATACCTTACTGGATTTGGTGCTAGCTACAGGGGATGACTTGGTGGGGGATCTACTGACACAAGGTAACCTAGGGGACAGTGACCATCACTTGATCGAATTCAACATATAGAGGCATATAGGCTGTGCAAGCAGGGGGTAGCTACCAAGGCAGAGTAAACCTACTTGGCCCGCACTTGAAGGAAAGCAGTCAGAAAAGCCAAAGCAGAAATGGCATTTATGCTGGCAACCCAAAAAATTAAAGACAACTAAAAGTCCTTCTTCAGGTATATGGGGAGTAAAAAGAAGGTGCAGGGTAGCATAGGACCCCTACAAGATAAACTAGGGCAATTAGTGACAGATAGGGGGGGCAAGGCTGAGCTCTTCAATGAGTTTTTTGCCTCTGTAATCCTGAACATGAATCAGGACAAATCTCCCAGCTGGGTCACAGACAGGCACAAAAAGGAAACCATCCCACCAACTGTTAGCACTGACTTAGTGAAGGAACACTTGGAGGGGCTGGATGTGTTTACATCAGCAGGCCCAGGTGATCTTCATCCAAGGGTGATGAAGGAATTGGCCAGTGTCATAGCGGAGCCACTGGCACGGCTGTTTGAGTACTCCAGAGGACTGGAAAAGAGCCGATGTGGTCCCTATTTTCAAGAAGTGAAGGAAGTAGGATCCAGGTAACTACAGTCCAGTTAGTCTCACCTCTATCCTCAGGAAAACCTTTGAAAAAATTATTAAGGATCACATTTGTGGGAGTCCAGCAGGAAAAACAATGCTGAAGGGCAACCAGCACAGATTCATAGCATGTAGATCTTGCCCAACTAACCTTGTTTCTGTTTATGACCAGGTCACAAAATGTTTAGATGCAGAAATCAAGGTAGGTGTCATCTACTTGGATTTTAAGAAAGCCTTCGATATGGTATCTCATCCTATTCTCACAGATAAACTGAGCAGCTGTGACACAGATGATTACACAGTCAGGTGAGTGGCACATTGGCTTAGGGGTTGCACACAGAGAATGGTGGTGGATGGGTTGGTATTGACCTAGAAAGATGTGGGCAGTGGAGTCCAACAGGCCTTGGTCCTTGGACCTGTGCTGTTAAATATCTTCATCAGTGACTTGGATGAGGACGTGGAAAGCACTCTGTCCACATTCACTCATGATACCAAATTATGTGGTAAAGTTAACATGCTAAAGGGTAGGGAATGAATCCAGGTGGATCTGGACAGGTTGGAAAAATGGTCAGAACAAAATAGAATGCAGTTCAACAAGGTGCTGCATCTAGGGAGAAGGAATCACCAGCATGCTTACAGGTTAGGGGAGGACCTTCTCAGCAGCACACTAGCAGAAAAGGATCTTGGAGTCATTGTTAACACCAAGATGAACATGAGTCGTCAATGTGATGAAGCGATCAGTAAAGCTTTATCATGTATTAGCAGGTGCATAATGAACAGGTCCAGGGAAGTGACAGTTCCCCTCTATGTGGCATTGGTCAGGCCATAGTTGGAGTACTGCATCCAGTTTTGGGTGAGGGATATGGACAACCTTGACAGGGTTCAGAGGAGGGCCACTCATATGGTTAGGGACCTGCAGGCAAAGCCCTATGAAGAGAGATTGAGGGCCCTGGATCTCTTCAGCCTCCACAAGAGAAGGCTGAGAGGCAATCCTAAGGCTGACTACAAATTCATCAGCAGGGGGCAACAAGGAATAGGAGATGCTCTGTTTACCAGGGCAAGCCTTGGAGCAACTAGGAACAATGGCCACAAACTGACAGAGAGCAGATGTAGCTTGGACATCAAGAAGAACTTCTTCACCATAAGGGTTGCCAGAATCTGGAATGGGCTTCCAAGGGAAGTGGTGCTCTCCCCTACCTTAAGGGTCTTTAAGAGGAGGCTAGACATGCACCTGGCTGGGGTTGTCTGACCTCAGCACTCTTTCCTGTCTATGCAGGGGGTCGGACTCAATGATCTACTGAGGTCCCTTCCAACCCAAACATCTATGAATCTATATCCACAGCTAGTATAAATCACTGTATCTCCATTGAGGATCTAAGGACATTTATACACATGCTCCAGGAGGTTGGTGGGAGCGCTTTAATTAGCGTTGTCTACAGTTAAAGCTCCCAAAGTGTCATGTATATCAGCATCCCCTCATTGTAAAATGGTGGTCAGGGTGCTTTAACTAAAGCTGATCAAATAAGCTTTAGTTAAAGCGCCCCCACCTCCATTTTTCAGTGTGAGGACACTGATACATGTGACACTGAAGCCTGCTGGAGCCCAGTAATTACCATGCTCCAGCAGACTCACTTAATCAAGTCTGCTCTGCCGCGCTGTAATTACAGTAGGTTGGAGCAGCCTTGATGTACGTGTAAAGGCACCCTCTCTCACCAATATTTTAAATCATTGCATTAATTGGTGAAGTTCCATTAAACATCTCTGACCTTCTTTGGCTCCCTTACACCATCATATCTCCTTATCTAGGACCCTGTATGGTTATCAGACATTTGCATAGGCTTCTATCAAATGTTTTCTAATTGACACTTCATTTCTAAGGCTACAAACAAACTTCACATTTGTCACAGGATAAACCATTTCCTACCAGGGTAAAGTGCAATCAGATGGTCATGTCCACTGTCCCAGGAAAAATCCTAAAAAGGTTCACAGAATAAGAAGTATTAACAGTTTATTCTGAAACACTGCAAAGTGCATCTGAATGGTTATCCCAGGATTTCATCATTGACTCAATGGCATTCAGCCTCTCACTAAACCCTGGTTAGAAGTGCAATGTGTGTATACAACAACCCAGGATATTTCTGTTTGGGGACAAACACAGGGACAACTTGTC